ACCCAAAATATTTCAGATATTGGAATAACTGGAATCTCAGTAAACAGCGGGACACATGACTATTTACGGTGACATGGCTACATATTTGCTTTGCAAAAACCACTGGAAATTTTCAACAACAGGCAGCGCCAAATTTCCAATTACACTTTAACTAGATTAAAGGAGAACTCCGGTGCAAAATGAACCTTTGGTCTAATTACACATCGTTACCTAGTCAACCGTTATCTGAGATTTGTTATCATGATTGCCGAATGTAAATAGTTTTATCTCTAAAAACAGTTTAGCCTATAACGCTAGTATAACACTAGTATATGGGGCATTGAGTAATGACAAATAAAAATCGCTTGTTATTACCACTAACAAGGCTCAAAATAGCCCCACTGTAACACGGTCGCATAATTAGGGTCCCTACATTCAATTGAGAACTTTGTCAGTGTCCGTACAGTTTAATAAGAAGATATTTTACACACACAGTCAACTTCGCGAATACAGGAAGAAGCCATCTTTGAAAAATAGTCTCTACCAGTCGATCTATGAATGCCTATCCAAGTGCGCTGAACTGTGCAGAATCTCATATGGTCCGTTGTTTCCAGAAGAAACACAAACACTAACCATTTTCTTCTCTTCAATATGTACACGTAGCCTACTGTTCGCGCTCACCTTATCACCTTATTCACATCTCACTAGCGTCATACTAGCGTAAGCGTTATAGTAAATATACTATTTACATTCGGCAATCATATTGAAAACAAATCTCAGATAACGGTTGAATAGGTAACAATGTGTAATTAGACCAAAGGTTCATTTTGCACCGGAGTTGTCCTTTAACCTGTTAACTGTCACCCCCCCCCCACCCCCCCCCACCCCTTTTTGAATAGACATGAAAATGCACATTTCGAACTTAAATGGTTGTAATTCAAGAATGCTTTGGAATATAGATAGACATATGATTGGTCTTGTTTTAAAGAAGACATTTGGCAGATTTTTGTAGAAGTGAAATAAATTAAGAAAGTAAAACAGAAAAAAAGTTATAGAAGTTTGAGTTTATGGAAATGTACAATGTAAAAATATTAATTATTCATATTTTACATAAAATATATATTTTCAAAACCTGGGCTACTCTAAAATGGCAGAAAGATCAAAGCCAAAAATCTGAACAAGTTGTGTTTCAAATTTTAGGTTGATATCTCAAAAAATGAGCTTTCAGTAAGATTTTGTTTGAGCGCAGTACCAAACTTTTTCACTAGGGCACAACCAGACTCCATTACTGCCCATATAAGGGCGTCTGCATTTCCATTCGTGTTTTGAGTGATATGAACCATTATTTTCACAATTTTCATACAATTTCTGAAGTAGAGATCCTATTCAGAAGTAGCATGGGAAGTTTGGCAGATTTTGATATGAATTGAACCTCTAAGAAACACATACAAAGAACACGCATGTAAGTCATAGCTAGCTGCCACGTCACAAATGGTGAATTTATTATTTTTTTCTTGATATTTCAAACTTTTCAGACCTTTTTTTCCAAAATAATTGAATGGATTCTATCTTCTGAACTTTTGGCATGAAAACAAACGGAGGTATCTACCATTTTTTCATGATTTTTCATGTTTACTGCTATTTTAAAATAAAGGTCTGAACACGCCTTATGAGTATGAAAATATTCTTGTTTTATATTGATAAATTATGGCTCCTCTGTAATATATTTTGAAAATCAGTCACCAAATATGGAAACTAGAGATTGTAAGCTTTCAAATGATATATAGTTTGTCAATATTATTTAAGGTTTTTACTAAGATATTATTGTTTGAAAAATATAGTGGCAAACGTCCCACCTGTGGGACGGTGACAGTTAAGTGGTTTTAAAGGAGTAGTTCAGTTTTGAAAAAAAACTTTTGCAGATAGTTTACTCACCCCCATGTCATCCATGATGTGCATGTCTTTCTTTCTGCAGTCGAAAAGAAATTATAATTTTGATGAAAACATTCCAGCATTTTTCTCCATATAATGGACTTCAATGGGGTCCAAACGGTTCATGGTCCAAAAGACAGTTTCAGTGCAAACTGTTCAATGGGCTTTTGGCAACAAAACACCAGACGATGAATAAGAGTCTTATCAAGCGAAACGATTGGTCATTTCAAACATAAATAAACAAAGTTTAAGTTTTATAAGCTCAAATGCTCGCCTTGCTCTGTTCTGTGATACGCGTTCGTGACTCTCCTGTTCGAACTCGTTCATCAAAATGAACGAATCTTTTCCCGAGTCAATTTGTTCATTTTGTTCGTTGAATGAACCAAATGACTCGAAAAAAGTTTCGTTCATTTTGATGAATGAGTTCGAACAGGAGAGTCACGAACGCGCATCACAAAACAAGGCGAGCATTTGAGCTTATAAAACTTTGTTATTTATGTTTGAAATGAGCGATTGTTTCACTTGATAAGACCCTTATTCATCGTCTGGTGTCGTTTAAAGCCCTTTGAACAGTTTGCACTGAAACTGTCTTTTGGACCTTGAACCATTTGGTTCCCATTAAAGTCCATTATATGGAGAGAATCCTGGAATGTTTTCATCAAAAACCTTAATTTCTTTTTGACTGAAGAAAGAAAGACATGGACATCTTGGATGAGATGGGGGCAGTAAATTATCAGCAAAAGTTTTTTTTAGTGAAATACTCCTTTAAATGCACTACCTGTCTAGCCATGTGTTCATGCAGAGGTAGGTATAATTCAATAACAGTTTGTGTTTTCAAATCTTCCATCACATGTCATGATGTCTATCGAGTGCCAATTTGTTCCGTACTTCAGGATTTCTGTTTAGGAAACATAGTGATCCTCAATTGTAGGATTCTTTTAGAGAGCAAACACTTTAAAGTCCCTGTGAAATCAAAATTGAACCTATTTACTTTGTTAGCGCATATTACTAGTCTTGTGGTGAACAATTAATCCGTGCAAGTAAAAATATATTTAAAAAATGTTTTACCTTGGTAATCTTTAATCAAAATCTGAAAAGTTACTTCCGGTCTGGAACGGTTTCTTTTTCTGATGACGTAGGTTTCACAGTTTGGGTGGGGAAACGCTTAACCACTCCCCTCAAACCGTTAGTTTGCTATGAGCGAGAGATGGAGAGGAGGAGCGCTAGAGTAAAACCCTGCCCTCTGTTCAATATTCCGTTTCACTTGGAAATACGTCACAGCACTGGAGAAAAATCGTTTGCAACTTCCGGTTCACGGGGACTTTAACCACATGAACGATTCAGCGACTGAGGGCCCTCAAAATGAGCCCGGACTACTGAACCAGGGACACACTGAATGAGACACACACATAGTAAGCTTACAGAACAGTGACAAGAGTATTTATGATTAACTTTAATGGCATAATACAACACTTATAATAAGCAGATTAAAACGACTTCCATTGAATTATTTAGACTTGTGTTAATTGGGTTACATCTGAAAAGTGCTATTTTGCTAAATGTCAAGGAAATACCTGAGTGTGAACATTTCTGAAAGCAAAAGAATCCTTTTTGAAAAGCATTTATTTTGATTCCTCCTCACCAGTAGTCCACCTGTTGTCAATACCGAAAAGATTTTATTTTCATGAAGAATGTTGATCTCCAACCACAACTGTAACAAACACAGCAACATCTAGACTGCTCGCATACACTTGTTTTCTGCCGAACCGTTGCCTGTACAGGTGAGTTTCCAGCTATAATTCAAGAAGCCACAAGAGTAACGGACCTCATTCACAAAACACGAGCAGAATGAGTTTGTGAATCGCTCATAAAACGATCTAATCAGTGCATCAATTTACGCAAGAATGGTTATACAAACTATATACACACACACACACACACACACAAGCAGAGTTCTCCTTGTGATTCATGAATGACAGCCTGAGAGTAGAGTTGTCAAAGTACAGACTTCGATACTGACATTTAAAAAAATTTGACCATTTCCCATTTGGCATTTTGAGCGCTGTTGAACGGATTCGTAAACACCTCTGATTGGCCGTTGTGTTCACACGCTGAACATATATCAGTCTCTAATTGGCTAAAGCGTCAAAGATTTCTATTTACAATATTTTTTGGAAGCATTGATCATTGTAGCCAATGTTCAGCGCGTGAACACGATAGCCAATCAGGTGTTTAAAGCAGTAGTTCACTTTTAAAAAAACTTTTGCTGATAATTTACTCACCCCCCATGTCATCCAAGATGTCCGTGTCTTTCTTTCTTCAGTCGAAAAGAAATTAAGGTTTTTGATGAAAAAAATTCCAGGATTTTCTCCATATAATGGACTTTACTGGTAACCAAACAGTTCAAGGTCCAAAAGACAGTTTCAGTACAAACTGTTCAAAGGGCTTTAATCAATTCCAGACGATGAATAAGGGTCTTATCAAGCGAAACAATCGCTTAATTAAAAAAATAAATAAATAAATAAAGTTTAAGTTTTAGCTCAAATGGTCGCCTTGCTCTGTTCTGTGATGCGCGTTCGTGACTCTCCTGTTCGAACTCTTTTTTTCTCTTTTTTTTCGTGTTTGGTTCATTCAACAAACGAAGTTGACTCTGGAAAAGATTCGTTCATTCTGATCACCCTTATTCATCGTCTGAAACCGTTTAAAGCCCATTGAACAATTTGCACTAAAACTGTCTTTTGGAACTTGGACCGTTTGGTTCCCATTGAAGTCCATTATATGGAGAAAATCCTGGAATGTTTATCAAAAACCTTAATTTCTTTTCGACTGAAGAATGAGTGACATGGACATCTTGGATGACATGAGGGTGAGTAAATTATCAGTAAAGTGAACTACTCCTTTAAGTTCAACAGTGCTCAAAACGCTGGTGTCCACATTATTTTTAATTTCAGTACCGAAGTCGGTACTTTTGACAACTCTACCTGAGAGTCTGAAGACATCATGTAATTGAGCACATAAATAAGGTCCCAAGGATCAAATGATAACGAATTACTTCAATTAAAAAAAAAAAAATTCTGTTTCACTGCCCCTAACATAAAACAACCAATTTAATTGTCAATGAAGATGTCCATCACAAAAGCACGATTTACAACATGTATTATGCTGAAACTTTAGTGATATTTCTTTCTGTGCAGACGACGAACCTTTAGAAGTGGCGGTTTGTAATTTCAAGAAACATAACTAATCGTTTTCAATCATCCACTTTAACTAATTTATCTTAAAAACACCTTTTGTCCTTATGAATGGAGGCTTTTACATGACAACACTGGAGTTACATTAGCAAGTCTGACAATAAAAACATGATTAGCAAGTACAGGCCTTTCTCCGACCTCCACCCATGAATGAAATCCACCATGTACGGTACGCCGTGAAGTACTACAGTTGCTGGATGCTGATGTTAACTAGTCATATTACAAGTCCATAGCTACGCCAATTATTAGAGCTAGTTATCGAGACATGATCGCTGAGGTCTTTTACTGGCGGCGAGTTGGATGGCTTCTGGTTTAGGATGATGTGTCTATGTTTGCCCACCCACTAAAAAATAAATAACGCAGAAGTGACTTTTAAGAAGGAAAAGGTGCTCTTAATGTGATTTGCATTTGTTACATCTATCATAGCACGACTGAAACGTGTTAAAAAATATTCACAACTCGATTCATAATGAATTCAGTGCAAAACAAAATACATGTAAGGCATGACGCAGGAGATCCGAAATAATTGGCAGTATGTGCATGTCCGCCATGTTGGTAACGTTTCGTTTTACATAAACATTGAATTTTGTAGTGGTACTCGGAAAGTTTGATTCGTGAAGGAGCGCTCAAGACATTAGGATCGCACAGAGCAAATGGAAAGACGCACTGGCTTAAATCGTACGATTTCAGATACCACAAAAGAAGTTGCTCAAATTAACATCATAACGGCTACAAAATGGTAAAAGGTACAGTAAAACCTGGACATACCAGTCAGTAAAATACACCTAATGAAAGTGAGACCGTAGTCAGGGTAGCGCCATATTTCCTTTTAGTTTTTTTTTTAAATAAAGGCTCTGGGGCAGACATAAAACTTCGTGAAAGTTGCTAGTTTTAGGATCTTTATACAGTGAACGTCATTGTAAAGACTTTAAGTCTGGCCGTGTTTTCATCTGCGTAAAATTCAATATGGCGTTCATCCTGACTAAGGCCTGGACCCGGAATGGATCACCCATAAAAGAAAACTCCCCTCATGTTATTCCGAACCCATGTCATTTTGTCCCATTGAAACACAACATCATTGATGACAAGACAAACGTGCCACAAAGTCTCTGTTTATGACACTTATATTGGGATTTGTCATCCTTTTCGAACCTTGAACGACACTACAAAAGAAAGTCATAAATGTTTGAAACAACATGAGAGTGTGTAAATGACGACCAATTTTTCATTTTTGGGTGATCCATCCCTTTATTAGAGGATGTGATTTGCTTGCGGCAAAGTGGATATAAAAATATAGGCATTTGAGACCCTGAATGACTGTTTGCTCGACTTTTTGGCCTGCGAGAGACCACTGTTACACGTCTCCGTTTTGATTGTTTCTTTACCTACGAGCGGAACATTAAATAAGAAGGTCGACATATGCGGCTGTGGGGCGTCGGATCTTGTTTTCGGGGATGAAAGAGCGTCATAGTAGGGTTTCTTTATGATGTCGCATTATATGTTGGTTCTTTTCCGACGGCCGCCTGAAACCCTTCTTGCAATAGTCACACCTGTGCGGATACTCTTTAGTGTGGATGGATATGACGTGCCGTTTGAAACCCGAAGCGTCCGTAGTATTGTACTCGCAGTATTGGCATTGATAGACCTTGCGACCGCTGTGAGTCTTCATGTGCTTTTTAAGTTCGTTCTGATGCCTAAAGCCGCGCTTGCACCGCTTGCATTTAAACGGCAAGTCCTTGGTGTGAACGGACAGAATGTGGCGGCTCAGCGTGAAGGGGTCCGAAGTCTTAAAATCGCAGTGCCGGCACTGGTGTACTTTATTCCCCTTGTGCGTCTCGGCGTGTTTTTTCAGTTCGGAGGGTCTGTGAAAGCCCTTCTCGCACACGTCGCACTTGTGTGGAAAGTCTTTGGTGTGCACCGAGATGACGTGACGCTTCAAGTCGCTGGAATTGGTGCTTTTGTGTTCGCAGTGCGGACACTGGTGAGTCTTGTGACCCTGGAAAATCTCGGTGTGCCTCTGGAGCTCCTTGTCGTCCGCGAACGCCTGCGGGCAGTGGCCGCACTTGAAGGGCAGCTCAGTCCCGTGTTTGCTCTTTATGTGAGTCTTCAAGTTGGACTGGTCGGCACAGCGGAAGTCGCAGTGCTGGCAGTGGTAGGGCTTCTCCCCCGTGTGGGTCCGCATGTGCTTCTTGAGCTCAGAAGGGTGGCGGAAGCCCTTGGCGCACTCCACGCAGACGTGTGCAAAGTTTTTGCTGTGCACAGCCAGCAGGTGGCGGTTCAGGAGTCCCTGTTCGGCCGTCTCGTACTCGCAGTACTTGCACTTGTGCAGCTTGGGCTCCTTGTCACGCAGGATGAGCTTGTTGGAGCTGAGCGGGCTGGCCTCGTGGTAGCGCCGCGTGTACTCCGTGTACTCGGGGATCTTCTCGTTCTTAATGATGAGCTTGTGGCTCTCCAGATGGTTGTGGAAACTCACCTTCTTGTTGGTGGTGAAGTCGCAGTCGGTGCACTGGTACTTCTTCTTGAACATGTGGTCCGGGTGATTCTTCATGTGGCGTTTGAGGAAACCCCGTGATTTGAACTTCTTGCCGCAGATGTGGCAGGGGTAGACGGTCAGGGGCTGCCCATCGGGACCAATGATTACAGCTAAAAGAGAGGAGCACATGCTGAAAATTGGCGACATTTGACTTCTTTAGTGGCGAGACAAACACTTTTGAAACACTAGCCATGTTTCCATCGACACGTTTTTATCCGAATTAAGTGATATCGAATGAAAAATGCCTTATGGAAACAGTAAAATTCGATGAAATTTCATGAAAATCGACTCAAATGAAATGCGTTCGGTCTCATCGGATTTTCTCTTGATCGATATACGGCTAATGCGATAAAAGCTGATGGAAACGTTATTTGCCGAATAAATAATGAATTGCGATTAAGTTTTATGCCTTTTTATGGTTGCAACACGTCAGAAGACGAGTTCATTTCCGGCCAGTCTGTTTGCGCACACATGGCGGATGTCAACAAAGACAGATGTAAGTGGACAAAGCAAAAAGATGCTTCAACCAAAGGGTTTCCGTGAACCACGATCTCCCAGAACTGATGGAGCGCTGTCGTTCCCAAACCACAGTCACCTCCGCTGTCGTCGGGCATACGTGCATCGTCAACATCATAGCAATGTTTATAGCGTCGTTGTTTTCTTAGGTTAGTTTTGCTTGTTTTTACGTGGCTTGGTTGAATTGTAATGTATAATGTGGTTTGTTATTTCTAGTTAACAGACTGCGGCGCTGCTAGTATAACACACCGTTGCCATGGACGCAGTTCAGAGACGGAACAGACTAGTATTTTCTTTAGCAGAAGCAATACTCGTTTTTAAATCAATAAACTCGTTTTTAAGTCAATATTTTGTGTCAAATTATTGATTTATTTGGTTGATTTATATGTAGGCTAATAAGCAGGATAATATATGAGCGGTTGTTATAGCGAATACAACCAACAACCGCCTCGCATACATTATCCCATTCATATGTCGCAATCAGCTGGCACATAAGCATTATTAGCCTTCAACTTGTGAAATATTGATCATTTTTTGGTAGATGGCGCGATCCGTTTTGTCTAACAAAACTTTGTTCGCAAAAGTTTGCTTGAATGTTGTTCGATTCAGTGCGAAAATAAATGGAAACACCTTAAAATGTCTCAAATCAATTCGATATAGCAATTTGATCGCAAAACAGCATGTGACGTCATTACGTACAGGTTTTTATTCGCTTTAAAGCCGTTGGATGGAAACACACTTTCACCAGCTTTATCCGCATGAGTTTTTTAACCGAATTTCAGATAATTCGATTGACAAGTGGATGGAAACATGGCTACTGACACCAACTTCCTTTTTTAAAGGATATAGAGGTCAAGTTCACCCTCGAGAACATCCCACTGCCCCAATGGTGATGCTTATTGTTCAATCTATCATTATTTGGTATCATTGCTTTATTACATAAAGGTTAACCGGAATTAGTTACTTTTTACTAAAAATGGGTCAACTACATATAACAGAACATCACATTTGGACATTTATTATGATATGTTTGAAACGAAAACATAAAATTTTACTGCATTTTTTGGTTTCTGTGTTAGATGAACACTTCAGTTTCTAGTCGATAATAATATCACAACATATTTGTGAAAATACGGTTGTTACAATGCCAACATTTTCCATTAGAAAAGTTCAGCATCACATCAAATACTAATACTAGCCTAAGTAAAAGGTTCTCACGCTTATTGAAGACAAGAACAAAGGACAAGTAAATACAACAGAACAAAAATACAAATGAAACAGTGTGATTTACTGTTAAATAGACCTACCTGAAAAAACATTACAGAATTGAATGATCAAAATGTAAAACAAAAAATAAAACGCTAGTCATTGCTGTGTGAATTCAAAACACTGATTCTTATTAAAGCTACAAAGGTTCTTCAGTCAAGATCAGAGAGTGATTTTCTGTTTGTCGTTTGTTGTTTTATTATTATTAATGACAGAGAGAACAGCAGGTTTATTAGGCTGCCGTTACTTTCAGACCGAATGCACAGATCTAATATACTGACAAACATCCGGTTTTCGCTCAACTGTACACGTTCCTCTTCGCAACACTATATTTCAGATTTAGTCCGAGAGCTTTCTGTCCCTCCATTGCAAATGTATGTACGGTATGCTGTCCTTGTCCAGAAAGGAAAAAAAGACATCAAAGTAGTCCATGTGACATCACTGGGTTATTACAATGTTTTGAAGCATCGAAAATTCATTTTGGTCCTAAAATAACAAAAACTAAGACTTTATTCAGCATTGTATTGTCTTCCGGTTCTGTTGCGGCTGAGCTTCGGTTACAGTCTGAGGGAGACTCACGCTGCACAAAAATAATCTTCACAAACATGTTTAAGGATTTCCACACAGAGGAAGACTTTCATTTATTGTCCAGCCATATTTATTTGAACCCCAATATACAGACGCACCAGAAACACGTCTTACATCAGCAGCTTCACTGCGGACTCGTGAATGCGGATCCACAACAGAACCGGAAGACAATACAATGCTGAATAAAGTTGTAGTTTTTGTTATTTTAGGACCAAAATGAATTTTCGATGCTTCAAAACATTGTAATAACCCACTGATGTCACATGGACTACTTTGATGATGTCTTTATTTCCTTTCTGGACAAGGACAGTAAGCTCTCGGACTAAATCTAAAATATTTTAAACTGTTCTGAAGATGAACGGAGGTCTGCCTTGGGACAACATGAGGGTGAGTCATTAATGACATCATTTTCAACTAACCCTTTAAGACAAAACCAATTGTGTTTACTAGAATCCTTGCCAAGATGGCCATTTTGACATAATTCTGTGTGTATTTGATCATTTAAGAGCAATAAAAAAAAAATTGCGCTTAAATATTAGCATTTTTATAACCACTGGCTTCAAACAAAAACATTAAAAATGGCAAAAAAAGGGAAGATGGGAGACAACAACCAATAAAACACAGACCTGTACAACACAAACAGACTCATTATACAAACAAATGAATATTAAAATTTGAGCGGAGAGGGAAAAACAGTGTGAGTTGAGGGCACATTGATGTGTTTTGAAAATGAAAAAATGTCTTTTGGTGTTTCGTGAGCCTTTGAAAACCGTTTCTGGCACTAGCAAAAGATCATACCTGTCTGGCACTGGCGAGTCTCTCCCTCCTCCTCTTCTTTTGATCTTCTGCTTAAGAGCTCGGCTTGAGCTGATGCTGTCAGAGATCTGCAGGTAGGGAGTGCCTGTGTCGTTCTTACTTTCTAGGCTGCTTCCTGTAGGAAAGCCATGACTGGTAAGGTGTTTGTATCGGACATTTACACCCTATAAATGCACTAAAAGGAAAGGAGAATGTTTTTTTTATAAATGTTAAGTTTTAAGACAGCAAGAGCTAACCAAAAATGAAAATTCTGTCATCGGTTTTCGCAGGGTTTTACAATGCTTAAAAGCCAATAATTAATCAAATCAAAAAATTAAATAAATATGGATGCACTGTTTATCGGAATAAAACTGAAATGGCTATATGGCTCAGTGCAAATAATCACAAAGACAGGGATTCGGCTGACAAATGTTCTGGAGACCCTGAGCTATCGTACGGCTTCAGAAGACTTAAATATATGAAGAGTTCAGATGCAAAAGCCTCTAAATGCCATTTGAAATTTTCTTCTTTAATGATGATTTTTATCAAACTTGTATATTTAAGTTCAGTAATTTCACTTAAATAACAATTAATAGGTAATTATCATTGCCATTTAAGTGAAATCACTGAACTTAAATATACAAGCTTGATAAAAATTATCATTCTGGAAGAAAATTTCAAATGGCACTTAGAGGCTTTTGCATCTGAACTCTTCATATATTCATTAGTGCTGTCAAACGATTAAAATATTTAATCGTGATTAATCGCATTAATGTCATAATTAACTCTCGATTAATCGCACGTTTTTATCTATTCTAAATTATCTTTTGTTTTCTTTTTGTTACATTATTTTTTCTCATTTTAATGTTCTTATCAACATGGAAAAGTGGATTGGCTTGTTTAGTGCAAATGTTTTTTATTATTATTATTGAAAATAACATTGGAATAGTGTTCAATTTCACACTAACATAAATAATCTCTCACACAATGTAACACTGTCCATCAATAAAAGGGTGAAAGAAATACTGACGGTCCTGATATTGACGAGGGGGTGGAGAATTCGCATCATCTGTGTGTGTGTGTGTGTTTGCTTGGCCATCATCAAGCGGTGTTTCAGACTGGACGTGCTGCGATGACGATAGCTCGGTTCACAACGACAAAATACAAAGTTCACTTTGGTCTTGTCAATGAGACAATTTGGCAACTTTTTAAAAGTAAACTTTCCATTCAGAATCTTCTAACGGCATCCATTTCGGCGTCTCGCGCTCGTCATCCACTCAAAACGTAACATTTGGCCGGCTCGCAAGCCGAAACGAGTGTGTGCGGCACAAAACGTCCTCGTGCTGCGCTCTGAAACCCATTCAATATGGCTTGCGCCGCGCGAGGACGTTTTATTGCTTTTCGACCAAAGCACAAGCGGATCTAGCTAGAACGGAAACAAAACAACAGGCACGCCGCACACACACGTTTCGGCTTGCGAGCCGGCTTTGAGTGGATGGCGAGCGAGAGACGCCGAAATGGATCAGGACGCATGCCGCGTCCTGTTGCAAAAAGTATGTGAAAAAACTACAAAGTTTGCTAGGAAAAAAGACGTTAATCGCGCGATAAAAAAATAACGCCGTTAAAATGGGTTTGCGTTAACTCCGTTAATAACACGTTAAACTGACAGCCCTAATATTCATATTTACAGGCCAATACTAGGGTAGAATGGTAGTGCTGCTCCAAATTCAGACAGGATTTTCATTTTTGGGTGGACTATTAATTCAAAGCAATTTGTATCTCTGCCTGCAACAAAAAAGTGAAGGACCATAAGCAGTTGCCCAGGCCGCAGGAACAAAGCTCTTGTTAACTGGTGTGTCCTCCAGTTGTGCTTCTGTTATCCCAGCAGCCTCTTCCTCCCCAACAATGACCTCCATATACACCTGGTCAGTCATCTCCGAACAGTCTACAGTCAGGACAGGGTATAACGTAAGCACATTTGTTTGACATAGAAATTTCCGTATTCATTTTTTCTTATTCGTCATTCGGTGGATGTGAATAGTCAAAACACCACTACAAACACTTGCTATGGATGGGAAAAATGCAGAAACTTGAACCCAATCCTAATTTTTTTATGACGGACGAAAGTTTCTAAGGCAGCGATTGACACAATGCGAGGCCATATTTATTTTTTAACGTGAGGATTTCGGGCTCAGTGTGCGCGAGGACCTTAACTCTGGCTTAAAAAGAGGCATAACTCACTGAT